CAGTTCCTATACCCTGTATAACTATATGCGCAAAGACGGAATAATAAAGTGGTCGTTTCTTAAACGTAATACCTCTTTTTTCTAATATTCTATAATTGCAATCATAGCATTCTATTAATTCAACGGGTGACCCTTTTCCACTTGAAAATGCACTCGCAATCTTGTCACAACTAATACAAGTAGCTTCTGTCTTTGCATCACGGCAGCACGGCTGCATCAGCTAGTCTTCTTACACCTTGTGGCTAGATTTGAGAGACAAAGCGCATTACCGAGAAAAATTGCGTGCTTGCTGCGCTGAGATTCGGCTCCGGGTACAAAGTGATATGTACTTGCTTTTGACTTCTTGACTACTTGATAATTTATGTATTAAGTGCAGGTTTGTTCATTCAATGTTGAAGCATTGTATGCAGTATTTCTCTACGACACGCTTGAAGAAGGCAAAGACGTTGTGTTGCTCCGGTGACGATGCTTACTCGAAAAGAAGGCATTCTGATGAGATTTAAGACATTGTGAGAAATTGTAAGTGTTACACCTATCAGCTCTAGTGATGGCGCTGATTTGAAGACACAGTTGCTGCAAGGGAGAAGGAGTTGGAGGTAGAGCGCATTAATGGAGACATATTTGCCATCGACGGTAAAAATTGGATCGACCTTCATGACGCATTTCGTTGTATTGGCGAAAGCAGCATGTTGTAAATCTTCTTATGCGCAAGGTGGAAGTTGACGTCACGTTAATGATAATTCAGCAAGTGTGAACGGGGGCTACTACAGCGGCTACGCTGCGTGTATCCGAAAAACTTCACTATTTGTTGTTTATTGTTACATATGAAGCACCACTTGATGGTTACATGTGTCCTCTTACAGATTGGATTCATACATATGCAAGGCTCTCCCGAAGCTGTTACTGGGCTAACTTCGATATGAAAAGAAGACCAACGGCTTTGAATTGTTTTGGACGCCATATTAAAGCTGACGTACCGTAAAATGTGTTGTGGAGCGCAGGAGTGCGGTAATGTATTCATCATAACCAGCACCAACAGTAACAGCAGTGGTATCGAGACATGGTATTACTATGTCAGTTGCATCAGTCCTACGTTCACGTTCCTACTGCTCGGATATCTCTCGGGTGTGCCTCTGGCTGAGGATCGCTATGACGAGCGCTTTGGATTGGATCCAGACTACCTCGAGTACAAGCACTCGACCAGTCCGCTGATCATGCTGCCTCCTTTTATTTACCGCTCATTCCCGAACCCAATCAAGCGCTGGTGTCTGTTCGAATTGAAAAGATACTCACGCAAATTGCAGGAACTTCGTAGCACGGAACACAAAGCATCGCGTGCTACTTACCAGGCCATTTCATAATAACATGAGATGTTCCTCTTCCCTGCACAACAAAAACTCAATTGATCTGCATCAACTAATTGAAAAGAAAACCAAATTCATTTGCTATCAGAAGAAAAGAAAGTATCAAATGTGAATAGATGACAACAAGCTCATGATTCTCTGCAAGCTTGTGGCCACAGTGCTGATTGATGATGACTCGAGTATACATCTTCATGTCGTATCCATCAACGTTCTGCTGCCACACTAAACACGTCCTTCTCTCTTTCGTCTTGTGTCTTCCATCCACGCACTCGTCGCCTCATTCAAGTGGGATACATCCGTCAAGCGACGCCCGCATAGCCAACACTTGACTACTCACGACCTGTCACCACACCCATAGTCTGTCTTTGTAGTCTTGTACTAGCCAAACCATCTCAAGCTCACTTATAGCTTTTCCAACTTGCTAAACGTGCCACCTCCAGGGTTATGACGTGCTAATTCAGCACGATCCGCCGTCTTGAAATCAAAATTGCACGGGTGCTGGTCCTCAAATCGATGGCTATTGCAAAACACATAGCCACAACGACACTCCATAGCAGTGAGTCCCACTTTCTTCTTACACTCCCAGCAGCGTTTTTTGTTCTTTTGTACTAATCTCTCCACACATTTCTCTTCTGTTTCCTGTAACAACATTGTCTTGCTCTCCCTTATCTCCTCAACAAAAGACGAAGCAGCAGTAGAAGTAGTTGAAGTAATAGTTGTAGTAGTAGTAGTCGAATTCGACTCTACTGAAACCAACTCATTCATCTTCATCTCCATTGAACGAGGTGATGTCAACGTTGTCTCGACTTGACGATCAGACATGGTCTTTTTCCAACAGACTGAACACATTCCACCGCTGCCTGGGGCACCAAAGAAGCCACAACCATTTAGACACAATTCGCCGCTTTCTCGCTCTTGCTGCATGTTTTTAGTATTACAACTAAAACCTGTACTCCACTAGTATAAGAAGAAAATAGACTTACTTAACAGTCACTTCGTTTCTTGTTTCTTATACAGAAAATTAAGGAATGCACTGAATGTTCTCTCGTTCTCACCCCCCTCTCGCCTTTTTGATGGCTTTTCTATGCTACATATGATAAAAGTATACACCAGATTTCTATAAAAAGACGGCCTAACCTCGAAAGTCTCAGCTTTGAGCTTAAGTACGGTCAAATAATTAGGAAGAAAAAACAACATAAAAGCTAGCATGAGCTACATAAATTTGCATATTTACATGTAATGCGACGGGATGAGTGTTTTTGTCGTCTCTGACGCAATACAGATTGTATAATTTAGACGTGCTGTTATTTACTGCGTATGAAAATCTAAATCTGATTCAGCCATCTCACAGTTTGTGTAACTAGTAAATGGTTATTACATGTTGTTTTAGCTCAACCCCCCTATCCTCAAAAATGTAGTCGCAATCATTCCTTAATTTTTGCAAGTTTTGAACAAAAAATCATGCATACAGCAGCCCGTATAGTAATATACACGGTGGTATGCTAAAAGCTGATGTCACGTTTGTCATACTGATGCAATCACCCTGTCTCGAAGAGGTGCAGGTCAATACAACAAAGCAGCTCGATGGTGCCTTGCTTCCCAACCTGAGCTTGCCTATGGTCGTGTGGAGACTAGAAGATAAATTGGACTTGAGCAACGGTTTTCAGTCTTGCTATTGGTATCATCGTTCAGGAGTTCGACAAGCAAGAAGAAGATTGTCATTCGCGACGCGTTGACATCTCATCCATCGCAAAACTCTGTCTGTATTGCGACATCAGGCATTACTGCTGTTCCGGCATGTCAGACGCCGTTCGTGCTGCAGAGGCATTAGAGGCACGGGAGTCAGGTGTTGCTGTAGCTATGAGGGTACCGCAAATGCCATCGGGTGTGTAGGTGAGTGACAAGAGTGCAGTCATGTGGACGTGTCAAAAAATTGTGAGGTCAGGACTTTGCACATTACGTGCTGCTGTCTTTGGACCAGTCATTTGAGAACGAAGTGTATTGCCAGCTGACAGGCTGGGCGTCTTTATGCAAAACGATCTTCACGTTGCAAGTCAAAGCGAATGCTAAGTGTTGGAAATTTCTTTCTTTGCGCACATGCGGAGAAGTTTCTCGCAGTGAGGAGAAAAAGTGCGGCATCTAGAATGTTGTACTGCGTTATTTGTCTGTGGTCACCGTAGAATTTGCCAAAGAATTGCTCATAAAGTGAACATGATTTCTCATCGACACATACGTCGATATTGTCCTAAGACGTCATGTTGGCCGGCTAGAAACGGAATTTTGAAAAGTTGTGCCAATTTGTTTCTGCTGCTTCGGCGAGGACAAGCTAACACAGCATAGTGCGAAAAACAGTGTCCGCTTAAATTAAGTGCATGACGTGTAAGGTGGATTCTATGCTGGATAATAGATGAGCAGAGTAATTGGGCATCAAGGTCGGGGTCTAATAAGCTTAGACACGTAAAATTTGCTTGCAAAATTTACAAGTGATGTAGTCTGGCTATTGACCGCGTGTAAGAGGATTGTTGTGTTTGTAGTAACGAGTGTCTGGCTATTGACCGAGTGTAACGCAGTGTCTAATGGATTGTCGTGTGTGACGTAGACCAAGAGGAGAACGCAATCTGCAACTCGGAGTGTTTGGTGTTGATTTGGCGGCGACGGTATTGCTAGAAGGTCCCAAGTCATGCGCAAGAGAAATTGTTGTTGACAAGCTAGCGAAGTTTAAGGTGGTTGTTGTTGCGACTGCATTTACTTTGCAACATGCTGCATCTGCTGTGGAGCAATCATTGTCATTTGAATGATGACCAGATTTATGTCATGTGTGTGAGTGTTAGAATGGCTGTAGATTAGGTACGACATCACTTTGCTGCAATCGTTTCTATAGATACATCCTTACTGGTACATACATCCCCATCGTTGTCACTTGCGTTTACTATGTATGAACTGAATAGTTGGCTGAACTTATTTAATATAAGGATTTTAGCACGTAGTTGCAACTTGGGTTAGAGTCACTCTATAATCTTATCTTCCTGATTTTCATCTGCTTAGGTCTATGTTCTAGATATAGAAATTAAGAGCAAATCGTCACATACGCTCGTCAATCCAAAAAGAACCAATAACAGTCGATGGTTTAAAATAGCATAGAGGAGGAGTCACGTATTCGTAGCGTGAACTTATGGTTGTTTATACTTTTGATACTGTCACGACTTCTGTCTTTCGACCAAATGGCCTATTGACAACCAAACGAGGCGTAACTATAGAATGTCTAGGTATCTCTGTAATGACGTGCGTCTTGATTATATTTCTGAACTTCCAGCTGATTAGCAGCTGGTCAATACGTGCGATTGAATTGAGTCGTTTACCAACTCAGAGCGTTCACTATATATGATCATTTCCAAATAAACAATATAGTACACAATTGTCTTGACACACTAGTGAATGACAATAGTAAAACAAGAGGCGACGTATATTATGGAAGACCGTACAAGTTCATATATTCAGTGGAATGATACACCAAAGAGTATGAAATCCACTCAATCATCTACTACTAATCAGTTACTCCATCATCGACAAAGTAATAGTAGTAAATGTCAAAGACAAAGCCAAAGTCACGTACGTAGTCGTGTGCTCTCTCACAGTATGAAACCGTACAATGATACGGATGCCAATGACTTGATTTTACGTGCTAATGCTGCACCTAATTATACGGGTGGTTTCAATGGTAAACATTCATGTTGACGCTAGTGGATCGATGTTTTTCTCATGTGACTAAAATACTCATCATTTTTGTTGACGATGATTACGTCATGCTGTTGTTGTTGTTATGGTAGAAATTATGCAACAAATGAAAGCCAAGACCTATTATACGCAACAATTTCAACGGATTCAGCAACAAACGAACATGAGTCGATTACTCTCTTTTTCAAACGTCACGCCAACATTCTATGAATCAACTTATCTAGCAGTTAGTCAAGATTCATCCGTCTTTCGAGTTCGTGCTTGTTTTTTCATTGGATTTGTGGGACTTACGACACTTTACATGAATGAATGGCAATCGGATAAATGGTCCAAGTCCGACATAACTGGACGTTCGAAGGAGGATGAAATGGCGATTATCGTCATGACATTTGGGATCATGTTGCCATCGTTTGTCCTTGGATTTCTTGCTACGTTTACAAGCATTGGACGAAAATACTTGGAAAATATCACGGCGACGGTGTTTGTAATTGTTGCTGCCATGATGATTGCCAAGAAGCCAGTGGAAAAAGTGAAAGGGCCTGTAATTCCATTGCTTATTTTACTCATCCCTATTTTTGGTATTACCAGGATGCGTTATGTCACGTCATGCTGCATTGGTTGGGGCCTTTTCTTTAGTTACTTGATTGTTATGATGAGCGTGCGCAACACGCTGCCAATTCCCAGCACCTTTGATTCGTACACGGATATCTCGTACCAGGCCATTAACTACGGCATTACAACTATTGGTGGAATGGTATCACAATACCGTCAAGAGCTCCTACGTCGTCGAAACTTTTGTCTACAACTGCCGTTTTCGGGAGCTATGGATGCTGATGCTGTTGCAGAGATCAAGACGGACAAGTTTAGCAAGAAGGCGTTGATGCATAACTGGTCACTCAAGTTTCGCCATCCCGACGTCGAGGAGTGCTTCTATCGCTACTGGTACCTCATTGATCCGTTCCCGTACGAAAATCCGAATTCCGGATCACTGCATCAGGGTGTGTTCCGTACCATTCGATTTGCCGTTTTGACGCTGCTGCTGAATCAACTTGTGCTGCTATTACAAGATGTTAAATTTCTCAAGGTCAAAAGAGACAACTTGGTGGACGACAGCGATTTGACGTACGCTCTCGTGCTTCGATTTGGTGTAACGGTGCCGCTTTACTTCTCGGCGGCACTGTTCATGTACTTTCTCGGCAAAGCTTTTTACGCTCGATGGGTAAAGGAGGCTGAAGATGCCAAGAACGCTGCGCTTACAAGAGACTCGACGCTTTCAGTTGGCGTTAAGCACCTGGGTGGAGATTTTGAGACAAAGAGTGATATATTGGTGGAAGCCGATAGATCGACGCAGGATACAGCGCGCATGAAGCATGTCGTGGAAACGGCTTATATGAAGCATACGACAAAGGAACGTATTTATGACGTACTTATCAACAAGGGCGGATATGTGCGATCGACGCAGATTTTCTCGTCGGTCGTGATTGCTTGCCATGTCTGCTGCATGGGCATTCTTTTATTGGCTGTGTCAACAGGTCCAAACGTTGACGCGTATGTGAAAACGCAGAAAAGCTTTCCCGGTCAGCCCAAGCCAGTGTACTACATGGGTTTTCTGAATGCTGTGCTGTTTGCCCACCGATCCGGCTTCCGTGTGCGCTTCATCTACGCAACGTACACGACTTTTGTTGTAGCTTTAGGTATTATCATTGCTGCCAGCAGTCTGGCACCGGCTCATTATCAGCAATACGCAGGCTATGTGTCAGTGATTCTTCTGATGGGAATGATGATCTCGTATGAAGAGGAAAGTTTGCGTCGCACGTTCTTCGTGCTCAAGTCAATTCGAACGCTCGAGTTTGAAGAGTGGTTTAGCGTTGTGCTGCGCATACAAGGCTGGGTGCGGGAACGCTTTCGCAAGAAGTTGCATGACGTGCGCTCCAAGGGTAGCAAGGATATGGACAGCATGCAGAAGATCGAGTCTGCTGTGCCACTTACTATCAACACATCGGCACAGATGGCTTATGCTTCCAAACTCGGAATGTACACGCAGATATTTAATATCATCATTGCCGTAGCAGACGTCATTACCAGCAGTCTGTAAGCCTTAAAGGCAGAATGGACAGAGATGTAAGTGAGTGTTGTGAGTGTAGTGTGTGAGTATAGTGAATATACTTGAACAAATATGAATACTATAACAGACAATCAGACTTGTGTATTTCTATAGCGCCTCAAGATGTTTGCCTTCGCTTTCGTGTTTTCAAACACTTCATGAATTTCAAAGTGTTCGTTCCACTTAGTCAAGATCGTCAGCACAAAAGAATTTGTGGTGTGCATCCTTTGGTGCTGAACTATTATCCGTTGCGTAGCTCCGAGACACTTTGGGATCGAATTTGAAATACACAGACGAAGGTAGCGAGTTGCTTGGGTCATAGTCTTGCTTTTGATTCTGACTTCGTTGACAATTCCCATTGTTGTTTTGGTCCGAGAATTGAGGAATCTCAAAGTGCCCCGACTCTCGCAGGATGTCAGCATAATGGTCCAGTTCGTCCTGATTCCACTGCAGTTCACCTGAAGTTGCTACACTTGCTCGCTCGACAAAACTAGCAAGACCGTCAAGATCTATTGGAGCTGGAAGCCACGCGTCCGAGTCAATATCCGAAGAGTCGTGTGATCGGTTGGATGAATGACCGGTACTATTTTTCTCACCCGATACGACGGAGTCCAAACCAACGCATTGGTAATGGTTCACACTATCATTCGTATTTTCATGTAGACTGCACATATGAAACGCTGACATTGTAGGTCGTGTGACATCAGAGATGCACTGGGTGCAAAATATCTCTTTGCTTGGTTTCTGTGTCCGTAGATTCAGTCGAAAGACTGTGCACGATTCTCGACACTTTCGACACGCGTTTCGACGACAGCCCATACAGAGTCTCAATGAACTTCTCAACAGACTTGGTTTCTTCATACATACGTCACAGGACTTGCTGGTCGATGGAATACGATCGGTACTATCAGCAATTCGAGCTGAATATGCCTTTGCACGTGCAACGACAAGAAGGTTCGTAACCGATAGCATTCGTTCAGCGGAGATCATATCAACGACACTTCGTGGAAATGATCCACCCATATTTGAACTTCCCAAGATAAAACACCCAAGTAATTCGTCCTGAAGCTGACGAAAGAGATAACACATGGAGACATAGCCTCGTTTTAAATGTGGTTGTTCATTTGCTGGAAATTCTTCTAACTCAATGGAATTGACAATGCAATAGACAAAATATCGTCCTTGGGCATCAATGAATCGACCAAGACGATTGTAAAATAAGAAATCTCGATCATGAACTAAGGAGGCACTCAGGGATGTTTTCAATGCAACCCATTTAATACCTGAGAATATAGTAGTACTAGTAATTGGATTCGTTTCAAACATATGAAGAATTCGAGCATCGAGAAAAACATTTTTAACCATACTAACTTCAATCCGCATACTTTCAATATCAGCTGTATAAGCTCCATGGATAATATCTTCCACTGATCCAGGCATGACACCACTACAGAGATAGACTTGATCATGACGGGATAGTACTTTATTGTTGTTATTACTACTAGTAGGAGTAGTAGTAGTAGGAAGAGTACTATTATTTCCATGGAAAGGTTGTGTATTACGATATACATTCAAGGATTTACGTCGTTTAATGAGTTTCCAAGTATGTGAAGTTGAGCCATTGGAATGTTTCATCATCATCATCTCTTTCTTTGTCGTTGTCTTGTTCTTCTTTTGATGGAATTCATCATATACTATTAATGTATTTTGAAGAAGCGTATTACTATTTGATTCATATTCTTCACGTTTTTCCTTGCTAAATTCAAGACGTGGAACACCATTTAACAAATTACTACGATCAGTCATTTGTTTGTTTGTATCGAGTGACTGACCGAGTGACAGAGTGACTGAGTGACTGAGCGAGTGAGTGGATGAATGGGTTTTTTGTCTGGTTGTTATTTTAAAGTCTCCGTTAAATAATGGTTACAATGTATACAAAAAACAGGTAGAACTTTCATACAGACTAAAACAGCACCTACCCCCCACATATGGTCGGTCTCAAATCATACAAGCTGTGCGATCTTGTTTGTACCAAATGTCAATTGGACGATGACAATAGACAGGAATTGAAATGCAATATAAAAATATTGTAAGGAAAATCATCGAATGAGGAAGAGACGTGAACGATTTTAGTAAGACAAAGAAAAGTAGACTGTCGTTTTTAGAATGGAGTGTCAATTGTAACAGATGTAGTGGCCATTTTTGGCGTATTACTACTACTATTATGACAACTACTATTCTTATTACAAGAGAATAGCATTCTGTGCAACTGATATTTCTAAGATTATTACAGTATTACATTTTTTACCCAATGATTGCTAAGAATAAACGTCAGTGCTTTAAGATACAATCTTTATTTTGACTTGTTATGACGCGTTCATACGAAAAATTACGTGAGACAGGTAAACACGACTCTTTGATGATTAAATTAGTGGTCCCGGTATGAATATTAATACATGAACATTGCTGCCGCGTGGCCGTGTGAAGAGAGTAGGTTGCGACTTGACGTCTTTCGGAATAAAACATCGCATATCCATCTGTCTACGAAGCCAGACCTGGACAGTCGACCCTGTTTGTCACTTCTAACTAACACCCATAATAAATAGTAGTGTTTGTCGAAACATGCGTTACTACTATATGATGTACTATAATATTAATTTACATATTAACTTACAAGCTATGACTTTGTCATATAATAATATAATATTTTATTGCATATGATTAAATGTCGGTGTATGTATGCGAAACGTGTTAAGCAAATTGCAGACCAGATATTGCATATCTTACGTACATCTCGTGGATACAAATGACTTGGCACCATAGCAGGTAGCTACAGGATGCATGAGTAAAGTATAGAATGATAAAGATTAATTCTTGTCAGCAAAGCTCACGTCTGACGCAACATTGTAATTTAAAATAAAGCATGAGTGTCATAGCAGTTTAATCCATTCTTCTTCTTTTTTTAAAACACAAAAGTCTGACAATACAGAAAGATACAAATGATGTAAACAAAACATCAGATTGAACTTGGCATGTAGCGAAGATCGTTCGCGAAGCAGCAAGAATCGAGACATGACTTCGATTGAAACGGAATGGTATAGAGTTCCACATAGTAATGAATAAAATAGTCGCGATACAATTACCAGAAGGTTTGTAAAAAGTATCACAAGAGCAAATTGTTAGAAAATGAATACAGCTTGATAGTATTAATGTAAAATTTACACGTTATAAGTAGTATACTATATTTATATATATGCATGCGGTATACTATTCATATTATTCCCACTGGTTACAAATAGTATACTATGCAAGTAGTTTTAAGCTTCAGTTTACTATTGTGTTTACGACTGGGAGCACGTCGCTGATGTGAGTAACTGACATCTGGATTGTTGTCGCTGCGGGAGAGAATCAAAGTCTTTCGATTGCATTTTGGTTTATTGTGGTTTTATTATGGACACTATCTGACTCTGATGCGGAAGAGAGCAAGAGGTTTTGTTTTCACTATTGGTTTAAAACGGATAAAACGTTGCCAACCACTTTCCTCTTTGCCAGCAAGCCCAAAGGTCGGTCCGTCGAAAAACAGAAAGAAAAAAAAAGAGTCTGCGCACCCCCTCTCTCTTTAGATAATTGGGAACAGATTAACCCCGTAAATAGAAGCATGAATAAGGAGAACACCAAGGTGCGCGGTAATCAGCGGAAATTGACTTTTCAACGCCGTAAGAAGCCAACAAACCCTTTGCTAATTGATCCTGATGCAACGCCTACTCGTACAAGTACCTTTTTCGGCACGGTTGGGTCACCCATTAAAATGGGTAATGTTGAAATGGGTCGTCGTGGACCCAAATTACCACCACGTCAGGATGGACCCGTGGACTCGGAAGCAGCAACTTTAAACATCAATCAAAAAGCAGCTTTTCGTGAAGAGCTACGTCGACAACAGAAGGTGAAAGAACGAGTTGAACAGGCCAAGGAAGTGGTCGAGCAACCTCAACAAAAGGTCGATAAGACGTCTGTGGTGACTGTACGGAATGATCATGGTCGAAAGATTCGTGAGCGACGTAATTCGACTGAGTTCTTAGGGCAACCTATGGAACCCGTACAGCAACTAAAATTGGACGGTGCTAAAAAGGCTAAAATTCCCCATTTTTTATCCGCATGGTTCAATGCTGGTCACGATACAAAAGCAACTATTGATACGGATAATAGTGATTTGGAATCAGTTAGTACGGATCAAACGATCATTAGTGGCACTGGCGAGCGAAACGAAAGGTCGTTTCAAGGGGGGGAATCATCAAGTCTCAGAGGTGGCCACCCCGGCTCTTGTTACACATGAAACACCCATGGACCAAACGAAACAAGCTCATCCTACTGTAGCTCCTCCGACTCCTTCTCCTCCTCGTGTGACGAATTACAGTCAAAATATTAATTTTCACGAGATTACACTTGGTCGAATGATTGGAGAAGGTGCATTTGGTAAAGTACATGAAGGGAAATGGCGTGGCAAGAGTGTCGCTATTAAATTACTCATTTGTCAAGAACTTCGTAGTGATATTTTGAATGAATTTCAATCGGAAGTGGAAATTATGAGCGTCCTACGACATCCAAATATCTGTCGTCTACTTGGAGCGTGTATGGATCCACCACATCGAGCACTAGTGGTGGAATTACTACAACGTGGTTCTCTCTGGGGTGTTTTACGAATGAATCGGAAATCCATTGATCAAGAAATGAGATCACGATTCATTTATGATACAGCCAAGGGAATGTCCTATTTGCATCATTTTGAACGTCCAATTCTTCATCGTGATTTGAAAAGTCCGAATTTACTGGTTGATAAGAATTTTAACATTAAATTGTCTGACTTTGGACTTGCACGTGTGAAAGCACATGTGCAAACAATGACGGGTAATTGTGGTACAGTACAATGGATGGCGCCAGAAGTACTTGGGAATCAAAAGTATACGGAAAAAGCAGATGTCTTTTCATTTGGGATTGTCATTTGGGAAATTGTAACGGGTGAATGTCCATACGATGGAATGAGTCAGATTCAAGCTGCATTGGGGGTATTAAATCGTAATTTACGACCAAATATTCCACGTGATTGTCCACCGTTTTTTTCACGCTTGATGAAAGCTTGTTGGAATCGTCAACCGGAATTGCGACCTAGTTTTCCACACATTGTCAATGCTTTTCGTACATACCAAAGCTCGATCTCGGAATCTCGTGCAACTAGCAGTGCTGCGGCGTCGGCTAAGGCTGCTATGGCTGCATCGGTTGCTGCTTCATAAGCTGCCACTGCAAGGCTTATGGTCTTTATAGTAGACTTGAAGAACTCGTTTGTTTTTTTTCTTTACGGAGGACAGCTTGATTTTCGACAAGGGATTTAGATGCAGGACAAGAAGCTAACAAGGGACACAAAATGATGATGATACACATAGTTTCATGTACGCTTGTCTTTACATGTTGGTGTTTCTATTGTTTATGGTTTAGGTTGTTCATGATGCTGTGGCTCAAATGCATTAGAAGCTTCTGATCAGATTATGCATTGAGGATGCAGCGTTTATGTCATGGCATTCTTGGTGTTGTTGAGGGCTACTTACACTTGCTTCATTAATTACTTTGACTTGATCTGTGGCGATCAGTCTTTTTTAAAGCATACTACGAACGCTCAAAGACAAATGGAGTTGTATACGACACTGCATGTTGGTTTTGTCAAGGTATGTATTAGTGGTTTCACTAGCTAGACACGCATCGTCGTTGCAATCTCTTTCCTTCGCTTCTTCACACAAATCTACTGCTGTCGTTCGTGCAGAATCAAATTAGGTCTCGACTTTGGAAATGACACCAGCACCGATAGTGCGGCCACCTTCACGAATGCTAAACTTCATGCCAGCGTCCAGAGCAATAGGGTGAATCAGCTCAATGTCAATGGCCGTGTTGTCACCAGGCATGACCATTTCCGTGCCTTCCTTGAGTAGAATGTTGCCCGTCACGTCGGCCGTACGGAAAAAAAACTGCGGTCGGTAATTGCTGAAAAAAGGCGTGTGGCGACCGCCCTCTTCTTTCTTCAGCACATACACTTCGGCCTCAAATTTCGTGTGTGGATTGATAGTACCAGGCTTGCACAATACCTGTCCACGCAGCACTTCATCACGCTTGAGACCACGAAGCAGTAATCCAACATTGTCTCCAGCTTGACCACGGTCAAGTGATTTCTTAAACATCTCGACGCCCGTGCACGTAGTCTTTGTGCTTGGTTTAAGACCTACTAGTTCAACTTCATCTCCAGTATTAATAATACCTTGTTCGACACGACCAGATACGACCGTACCACGTCCAGAAATGGAGAAGACGTCTTCTACTGGCATCAAAAAAGGCTTTTCAAAATCACGCACGGGGTCTGGAATGTAGGCGTCCACTTCATCCATAAGCTTTAGCACGGCATCACGTCCAATGGTGTGATCACGTCCTTCCACAGCTGCCAAGGCCGATCCTTGTACAACTGGAATATCATCTGCAGGAAAATCATAAGCTTCCAAGAGTTCCCGAATTTCCATTTCCACGAGCTCCAGCAATTCTTCATCATCCACTTGATCAACTTTATTCATAAAAACCACAAGAGCTGGGACACCAACTTGACGCGCGAGTAAAATATGTTCACGTGTTTGTGGCATCGGTCCATCTCCTGCAGACACGACTAAAATCCCGCCATCCATCTGAGCAGCTCCTGTAATCATATTTTTCACATAATCCGCATGTCCCGGACAATCCACGTGTGCATAATGACGTTTGGAGGTTTGATACTCTACGTGAGCAGTTGAAATTGTAATACCACGAGCTCGTTCTTCGGGTGCTTTGTCAATATCTGCATAACTTGTGAATTCAGCGCCGCCTAATTCCGATAAAACTTTGGTAATTGCTGCTGTTAACGTTGTTTTTCCATGATCGACATGACCAATAGTACCGACATTTACATGAGGTTTTGTACGATCGAATGTAGCCATGGAACGAAAAGTTAGACGACGACTTAGTTTCATGGATGTGGATAGAAGGTGACGATGGAATAACACCATGATAGTTAGATAGAGGTCTGAATTGAATGGAAGGAAAGAATGAGTGGGATACAGTACGGATGGATGGGGTATGGATTGTGTGGTGGAGAGGGAAGGACGGATGGCATGTGAAAAATTACTTGGAATAAGTAGGAGAAGAAACAAGGAGCGACCTCTGGACCTATGAAAATGAATGATGAGGGTTATTAGGTTGTATTGACACTTTGTAACGCCCGAGTCCTCGTAGCCGCACAATTAGGATCATTTTTCCCGAAAAACCTGTCAGATTTCATCTATTTGAATGATCCTTTTGTAAATTAATCATGTATTAAATCTTATACACCTCTTGTATAAATTAGATTCTACAATATATTCTATGCCAAAATGTTTTATGTTCCATAACCTTATCATATATCATACCAACGAATGCCTTTGATCATCATACCATAGTTTAATCAAATATAACCTTGCTGTCTCTGTTTCATGGACAGAAATCGATATATAAGAAATTGTCTCTCTCATTCAAATCCACTAGCACCACCATCAGTAATGGATACATCCCTCATGTGCCATCTGCTTGGTCATTCCTTTACTGTTTTCTCCTATTAAACTCCTTATAATAGATGATACACTTTATATACATAAAGCACGCACGAACGTGTCAAGCTACAGCAGTAGTGGTATGAATGTGAATGGATCTGGAAGGGAGAGTTCATTCATTTGTTGTTGTTACTATTATATACCTAGTTCATTATAATAGAAAGACCACGTTCCCTCTTCTTCCCGTATCACAGGGCAGAATCAATAGAATGGATCCTTCCTTCAATATAATATATCTCAACTTCTCTTGAAGTGTCATGTCAGACATGTTCAATCGTATTCAACATGTGCCACTTTTTATATCGTAAATGCATTGGTCATATCCATCCATCTATCTATATTATTCACCAGTCTAATATGAAGACAAACGAGACTCACTTCATCTACACCCATCTGATCTCATACGGCGTGACCGACCAACTTGTTGTCACCCTCCTTACTCTCTCATTTTACATCATTATTATTCACTCTACTAGTAAACGTAAGTAGTAGTAATCGTAGTAGTAGTAGTACGTTGTAGGTTATTTCTCTTGTTTATCTGCATGACTTTTGTTCCTCGTTTTCATTGGCAAGGCAAGACCTTCTTATGAACGTGCATACAGATTGTAATTTGCTCCATTCAGTTCATTTCTAAGAATATCAAACACTTTTGAACCTGTGGGTTTCGGGTTCTAGGAAAAATACCACACTGACTAGCTCTACCTCTTCTACCTCTTCTTGCTTTCGACACTTTTGGGTGCGAAGGGTTTGAACCACAAATCGAACCATATCATTATCATTATGGTCACAACGCGTTCAGCACCTTATACGTCGATTGATATCCTGGAAAATGGGTCATCCAAATCTCAACCACCGTATCAAAACGTTTCGAATCCTTGTGTCCTTAGTTGGTATAATCTTAGTTATGCTATCACGTGTTCAAAGACTCTTGATGATACTATAACAGGGAAGAAAATAATATTAAACAATGTCACTGGTCGTTGTGCACCTGGTGAATTGATGGCCATTATGGGTCCATCGGGATCTGGAAAGACAACACTTGTGGATTTATTAGCCGATCGAATTCGTTCTGGCCACGTTACGGGTGACATGGAATTGAATGGAAAACCTCGTGAGATTCAAACCTTTCGAGCTGTGACTAGCTACGTGGCTCAGGAGGATTCATTGCTTGGGTCGTTTACTGTATTCGAAACAATGCACATGGCTGCAAAGCTTAGTTTACCAAACAATGTGACATCGAACCAAATTACGTCTCGTGTTGACAATGTGATTGAGGCCATGGGTCTTGGTACGTGTCGTTACACTCTTGTAGGTGACATCTTTCGCAAGGGATTATCAGGTGGCCAGAAGCGGCGACTCAGCATTGCCATTGAGCTCTTATCAAATCCAAGCATTTTGATCCTGGATGAACCAACAAGTGGTCTTGACTCGAGTGCTGCGCACAACGTCATGAAGTTCATTGCCAAGCTTTCTGCTGAGGGGAAGACCGTTGTGTGCACGATTCATCAGCCATCGTCACTGGTCTACGATATGTTTACCAATGTCATGGTGCTCTCGGCCGGTCAAACGGTGTATTGTGGTCCTCGTCGTCAAATGATCTCGCACTTTGGATCGGTAGGCCACGACTGTCCCCAGTACATGAACCCAGTTGAGTACTTTATCAGCCTTGTCAACACGGACTTTGACGACCACGCAGACGTGCCCACACTCATTGAATTCTATGCGCAGAGTGAGAGCCACAAGGACCTGAGCAACAAGATTGAAAGTGAACGCAAGACGCTGCAGCATCTTCCGGACATTGAGCAACCAGTGCCGTCGGCGATGCGGCAGTTTGGTGTGCTCATGTATCGCAATACTTTAAACAACATTCGCAATCCCGGCATTTACTGGATCCGGTTGTTCATGTACTTCTGTCTGAGCTTTATGGTCGGCACCATGTACCTGAGCACGAACGAGCATCTAAGTGAAGAGGATCTGGTCCCACTACTGTTCTACGTACAGGCGTTCCTGGTGTTTATGTCAGTGGCCGTACTCCCGTTCTTCATTGAGCAGCGTGTTGTATTTGCTCGTGAACGTGCCAACAATTCTCTGAGTGTGGTGAGCTACGTGTGTGCAAACTTCTTAGCGACACTCCCAGGTATTTTCTTGATTGCAGTCATATCGACAGCGCTTGTGGTGCTACTGGCGGGCTTGAACGCGATCGAATACTTCTTGTTGAATCTATTTCTGTCCTTGGTGGTGTCCGAGTCAATGATGCACGTGATTGGAGCTGCCGTGCCGCATTACATCATCGGTATTGCCCTGGGAGCAGGTGTATTTGGCATGTTTATGTTGTGTGAAGGCTTTATGGTTCCTCGCGACTCGATCCCGGGGTACTGGATTTGGGGGTACTACGTGGCATTCCATTCCTACTCATTCGAGTCTTTTGTGTTCAAGCAGTTTGAGAACGAGACGTCAGATACGGCGAAAGCTATTTTGGTCAAGTACGGCATGGAAAATGTGGATGTTGTGAAGAACATGCTGTATCTAGTAGGATACATTGTTGTTTTTCAAATGATCTTCATGGTTATCCTTTGGAAATTCCACACTGGTCGTCGGTGAAAACAACAGCTGCTTTGGACAGTATGAGTAGATGGTAATTGTCTGCTAATATACATTGATAAATATGGTGAAACTATGACTGACATTGCATTGCACGTTTCTCTATGACATTGATAGATCATCAGAGCGATAGAAAGTTGCATGATAGTGCACAAATATGAGTCGAGCGTGTGATTGCTGGTACCGTTATGAACCAATTATTGGTTGTTGATACATCAGAAGTTTAGGCACGTGCTGGTGATTGGAATCATGTATCGAAGAGTGCCGCTTTAACACATCATGACATGATATTTGGACCATCATACTCAACATTGGAAAGCTGTTAGGTAGCAGTTTGTTACTAAGCTAGCACACATCATCTTGCCTGGCCGAGCGATGTGATTGCATCGCTCCTAACATGGTCGAAAAGTAACAGTATCTCCGAAGTGTATTAGCCTTAGTACGATCGCTTCTCGTTTTACCGTAGAACGCACGAGTTCCTCGTAGATGACACGTACGTAATTTGACTAGTCTACTAAAGCATGAGCATGTCGGAATGAAGCTCCAGCACGGTCCCTTTCCTGACTGTCCCCGCTTCCAGTAATTGCAAAAACTTGCGAAGATAACAACACCATGGGTGCAAGCAGGCATTTGCCAACTAAACACAGAGATCAGATGGATGCCCTAGTTTGCAGTAATCATCATCAAATCGGCGGCTGGTCATTTGTAAGAAGGCTACTGCACGTGCAAGTATGGCCACATCCCCACAAACAACACCAGTGTTTGAAAACCAATATGTGTCCAGCACCATCGCAATAACAAAATGTCGGGAAGCAAAAGACAATCGATTGAGTACCATTTCAAGGGCCATGAACCTAACTGCAGTCCTCTCGATTTCATAGCGGCGAAATGAAGCTCACACCTTCGCGACCGAAAAGAAGCTCTTCACAGCTTCTCATTATGCCTCCATCGTCAGTATAAATTGCATTGGTGCATTACCTCTCAGAAAATGCATTCACCGACGACCAGTGTGGAATTTCCAAAGGATAACCATGAAGATCATTTGAAAAACAACAATGTATCCTACTAGATACAGCATGTTCTTCACGACATCCACATTTTCCATGCCGTACTTGACCAAAATAGCTTTCGCCGTATCTGACGTCTCGTTCTCAAACTGCTTGAACACAAAAGACTCGAATGAGTAGGAATGGAATGCCACGTAGTACCCCCAAATCCAGTACCCCGGGATCGAGTCGCGAGGAACCATAAAGCCTTCACACAACATAAACATGCCAAATACACCTGCTCCCAGGGCAATACCGATGATGTAATGCGGCACGGCAGCTCCAATCACGTGCATCATTGACTCGGACACCACCAAGGACAGAAATAGATTCAACAAGAAGTATTCGATCGCGTTCAAGCCCGCCAGTAGCACCACAAGCGCTGTCGATATGACTGCTATCAAGAAAATACCTGGGAGTGTCGCTAAGAAGTTTGCACACACGTAGCTCACCACACTCAGAGAATTGTTGGCACGTTCACGAGCAAATACAACACGCTGCTCAATGAAGAACGGGAGTACGGCCACTGACATAAACACCAGGAACGCCTGTACGTAGAACAGTAGTGGGACCAGATCCTCTTCACTTAGATGCTCGTTCGTGCTCAGGTACATGGTGCCGACCATAAAGCTCAGACAGAAGTACATGAACAACCGGATCCAGTAAATGCCGGGATTGCGAATGTTGTTTAAAGTATTGCGATACATGAGCACACCAAACTGCCGCATCGCCGACGGCACTGGTTGCTCAATGTCCGGAAGATGCTGCAGCGTCTTACAGTCAGCAGCTAGTTGGTCCAGAATCTGCTTCTTCACGCTACTTTGGTCGTAGGAACGCACAAGCTTCGTGACATTAACATGGTCTTCGAAATCCGTGTTGACGAGATTAACATAGTACTCAGCTGGGTTCATGTACAATGGGCAGTTGAATCCAACCGAAGTGAAATGCGTGATCACCTTGGCGCGAGAGCCACAGTACACTGTTTGTCCTTGAGAAAGCACAATGACATTGGTAAACATATCGTAGACCAGTGACGATGGCTGATGGATCGTGCATACGACATTCTTGCCTTCGCCGCACAGTTTTAGAATGTACTTCATCACATTGTGAGCTGAGCTGGAATCCAAACTGCTCGTCGGCTCATCGAGGATCAAAATGCTTGGGTTTGAAAGCAGCTCAATGGCAATACTGAGCCGACGCTTTTGGCCTCCTGACAAGCCCTTCCGGAAAATGTCGCCGACCAGCGTATTTTTGCACGCACTGAGTCCCATGGCGTTCATGACGTTTTCGACTCGAGAGTAGACGTCCGTCATTACCACACTATTTGATATACTGAGTCTAGCTGCCATCTGCATGGTCTCCACTACTGTAAACGACCCCAATAGTGTGTCTTCTTGAGCTACATAGCTCGTTACAGCTCGAAACGTTTTAGTCACTCTGTCGGTGCCATTCAACATGATAGTTCCAGTCACTTTTCCAGAGCTAATGCGATCAGCCAACAAGTCGACGAGTGTTGTCTTCCCCGATCCAGATGGCCCAATAATAGCAGTGAGTTCACCAGGAGCACTTCGTCCACTAACTTTGTCGAGAATGATCTTTTTGCCGTACATGTTTTTGTCAGTCCTTCTTTCTTGCACAACATAGCTAAGGTCGTTCCAACTGAGCACACATGGATTAATGCATTCCTCAAAACGAGCCGTGACATTCCGACAATAAAGACTACTGCTTGCATTACTACAATTGTCCAATGTGCCGTTCTGAACGACATGATCACTTTCTTGTGTGTAGCCGCTCTCAAGTAATGAGCTTTCAAGAATCGGTGGCGATAATACCGGCAGCATGTCAATCGATAACTAACTCCACAAATGAAGACGCGACCAAGTCAAGATTTCTAAATCGACGGTAAACTATGCGGCCAATGGTAAAATGATTGACCATGCCAGGCCTTCTCAAGCTGGTGGTCGCCTTTCCATCTTGCACCATAGAAATAACGCTAATCACGTGCTAGTCATCTCTCGAATGCTATACAAGTTTTGCCAAAAATCTCTGCCTACACACGGAATTTTGAGGCACCAAAACTTGTGTCATTGGCTTGAAACGCACGAAAGGCACATAGTACTGTCGTGTCGCTCATCATCTGCTACTGTCGCGAGATTGTTCTATGTAAAAGAGAGCGCTTCGGATGTTGTCTTATGTTGAATCCAAGGCATCCAAATCAACCAGGAGGTCCTCTTATTTTATCATTGATTGTGTCAGGCTGTCGAACCCCATTTGATTTTTCAGACAATGGCATCATGTGACACACTCTGCTTGTCTTGCAATGGTAAACACTGTGCCGAACTTGAAACTTGTACTTCACTGCATTACTCTGTCAGCCCGATCGGCTTCAATGCCTTGCATGAGATAACAAATGGCAGTATTACTCCACAATTGACAAACGTCTTGCGTAAAGTCTCATGTTTCCATGCCAAGCACATGTTTCCATGCCAAGCACATGTTTGCAAATGACGGAGCTTAGTCGAAATGCTAAAAGACAGAGCCTAACATGTGTCTAGCAAAAGCGCTTGGTCACAAGCCTATACTACATATACATTCTTGTCTGCATTGCTCACATGTACGTGAAGAAAAATCTCTGCATGCGCTACGACATACGCGACTTGAGATCTGTTCACCTTTTCAAAGTGTGACCATATATCTCCTTCTGTCTAGACCTGATGTGTTCAAATAATACTTTGCCTCGATCGACATCACCGCATAAACGTGCAAAGGCGGTCGTTTTACAACATGCGGACGTCAAACTACGTGCGTCAGTATGAGATCAAGCAGCTTATGTTTTAGCAAGTTTAGTCGGTAGCTAATCAAGTCGATCAATTCATCGTGGTCACAACTACTATACATGTGAGCAAGGACGTCAAATCCTGAGTCCAAGGTATGATAGCACCTTGACAACGACGCGTTAGAAGAGAAAGGTCTTCTCGTGACGTTGCATTTCACATACGTTTTTACTTGCGTCTTTGTTAATGAAGATGTGTATGTGGAATAAGTGATCCACAAGTACAAAGTCTTGTAGGCAAACATGCCATACACTTAAGGTCATCAACCGTCACCATACTGGATTTGCAACTGATGCTAATAGCTTGAGCTGACATAAAGATAGACAGATAGGTACACGACACACTTTAATTTGCTGTATAAGCTCTTCTTATGTCATGTATTGCTTCATCTATCGTTACGCTGATGTAAACACCTGATATCCTACAACTTACTACTCCTATTCAACTAAACTTTGATCAAAAGCACTGACTTTCTTCCATGTAATTGACGTCGTCCTCATGTCTCCACTCACACGTGCTAACGCTGCTTCCCCACGTCTCTGCATCCATCGCTTCCTGGATCTGGTACATGTACTCTAGATTGGCTTTGCAGTCTAGTGAGCAAAATCGACCAGCAGCACCACTTAGTGATGAAAGGGACGTAAAGAAAAGACGGTCACAGTTGGCGCAGCGCGTTTGTAGCTGCCGCCATTGAGCTTTGCTATAATTGCCGTCAGCAGCTCCTTGACTTGGTAATTGTTGCACTCGAGAAGACTCTGAAGTTTGCACAGCAGATGGTGCCGAGCAACTAAGTCCATTGGGAATTGCAATGTTAGCGCTGGCTTGATGACATGCAGTCGTTGGAACCGGCACGGGGTCGGACTCGGGCCGTCCTGACCAAGACTGGGATCGCTGCTCTGTAGCGCGTCGGCCTATTTTAAAAATGAACTGGATCATACGAGAAGCAAAACTTGGCGAAGATGTGTTAGCTTTTTGAGCTCTATTGCGTTTGGTCTCATTGGTTTGTCGACGCACTGACGTAGACTGGTTGCTTAGAATGCGTGCTGCACGAGTCATGATATTTGCTGCTATACTTAGTAAACGGTTGCTCTGTGGAAGGCGAATTGAAAAATAAGCAGCTACTCGGAAGCTGCTTTGACTCCTTTGTGCTGAGTACCTTTACCATTTTGGTGTGATTTTAATGGGCTGCTGGGGTCGCTTCGCAAGCCTGACAGCAAGTTAGCTGCAAGATGCGACGAGGTAAGTAGTAAACTATGAATTGAAGAACTTGGTCACTGCTGTGTACCAACTCAGAGCTTGATAGCTCGACGTAATCCTGAGCGGTCGATCTTTGAATACAAGTCCTGTGGTTATGTCGGTCGGCATCTGATCAGTCAGTAAAAACGGACAAAGCGACAGGTTGATCAGTTCATGAGTTAGCGCCAATGTAATCAGATGCGCAGGATGCTTCACAAAACGTCGAAATCGATCGACTGGGTTACTGCGTCCCGACTCAATGCTACGTCGATCGTCGGCCTCATGAGTCGGGTCACTGATGATCGTACTTGGCAATACTAAGCTGTAAGCTTTGAGTCGGTACACTGGTGGTAACACTAGAACCTCATCACCCAGTGTACCGACTCAAAGCTCGACGCTCGACGTAGCAATGAGTCGGGACACACTTTGTATTAGTATAAAAAGCATCTTTGTTAACATGAAGCCGTTATATGTTGAGTTGGGACACGGGTGAACATTCTTCATCTGTCACCGACTCAGAGCTCTACGCTCAATAGTGTCACGTATCCAGTCACGTATTATCATCAGTCGGCTGACAACGGCTCGATAAGGATCTGAGTCGGTACAAAAGGACAAGGTGTTTTGATTTCATTGTTCTTGCTTTTGCATTGCTGCAGGATGTTTGCTATATCTATATACAATGATGCTAACTCATAAACAGAACAACACGTGCGTAAGAACAACAATTCTTCTAACATTCATTAAAGTAGAAATATAACTGTCGTGCAATTATCAGGAAAAGCTACAAACTTGTGTTCACAATGCAACAAGTTGAACCTGATGCAAGTCAATGCGTGAACCGATAATTCGGCGAAACCTCGCTGTCTTTGCAACCAGCATGTCACACAGGACGTAACAGCATGTCACAGGGAGATGATAGCATGTCACAGCAGCTGACAGCATCAACGGAGCCAGACAATGCATCTGCCTGCTGAGAACGGTGCTGAGACACCTCGTGTACGAATGTGCGAAGAGGCTAAACTGCTTCCATTTCAACTTCATTATGTATTTCTTGTAGCGGCGGCTACTAAAACGTGAAGTTCGACCACATTTTACACGAGTATCAAGTTCTTGACAATGTTTGTCTGTCAACCTTTGCCTAGCAATCTGAACATTATTGTCGACTAAGCTTTATTGAATATTTCCAAGCAGAGTTTACAGTCGATATTGGTGTGTTTGCTGTTCAATTGAGCGCTAATCAGCCTTTTGTAGCGTCAAATATTGGTATTTGTAGGCTAGCGCTTCCAGAAGACTTGAAATGGTCTTGCAATCAAACGAACAGAATGGTCCTGAGCTGTCGTTACGTCAAACGAACAGAGTTTGCGACTTGGACATCATTGACTACAGCTTGGAGGAGGATGCTCTAGCACGACATGCTTTTGATCGGCATCCAACTTGGAGAAGATTTACTTACGTTGCAGCTGTTTCTAATGTCAGTGCAAGAATGGCGGCTCCTTGATCTCCATCTTACCTCTACCTGCTTTCCAAGGTCGTTTATCATGATTATAAGAGATTGAATTTATGGGCTACAAAGGCAAAGTGCAGCATGTTGAGGAATTTGAGTAACATTGTCTGACGTAATGATGTTTACTTAAGCTCACCATCTCCGACCATATGATTGATGCCTTGTCGAGAAAATCGGTTTTGCATTGATCACCGCAAAAGTTGCTAACTAAAGGCATCAGCTTTAGCTGAAGTTGGAAACAGTCGTAGTAAAACAAGTGGGAAGAGGTGCACAGCTTTTTTATGTATCGTCTTTTACTTTCACAGTGGCTTGCATTGTCATTTCGTTTGCAATTTGGGACCAATACAACGTCCTCGTGCTAAAACTCGGTACTATTACCAGTGTGAGATGCTAGTCTTGCCGCAATTTTAATTCATATAGTTGTTGAATGAATGGTAGCACAACTTTGTTCTTGTTGGAGCTGCCTACTGACATGCTTATAAACATTTAGAAGCAACAACACGGCGATACAATCGGACTTCAGGCTTGATGCTATTGTTAGTTTACACTACCGACGGTTGTTATGATATGCATCAATCAAATTGTACATCCAATAATGCGTTACGTGCTCACAATGGCTTTCTCCATCACAGTAATGGAGCAGTAGCTGAACGGCGGTAAACGACCTGATGTTGAGACTGAGGTGGATGTTGCATGCGCTGATGATAGCTGTTACTCCCCGCTTCGTTCTCGAGTATAGTACGCACGTTTTTTAAACGCTGTTCGACCGCGCATAGGAACTTGTTCACATTCTTTTGATCGTCCACGGCTAGGGCTTCAACGTTCATGCCAGGCGTATCCATCAGCAAACTTTCTAGCAAAAGAAGTGCCTGCAAATAATAATCATGCGCAGCTTGGACGTGTCCCAACACTTCGCGTATAGCACCCTGTCGCCCGATTCGAAGAGCGTGAGCATACAACAATTGTTCCTGTGACGCCACGGGACGAAAGGTGCTTTGAGAACCTGCAGCATATTCCACTTGTGCCTTGCATTTTTCAGCACGGCCAAGGAAATGTGTAAGCTGATCGGACAAAAATGCCATGGATACCTTTCGGCTTGTTTCAGTCCATCCCGTCGAACCTCCTTGCTCTTGACGCAAATATAGCACAACGTGCCGCACAAGGCGAAGGCATTTGACGTATAGCACAAGTGCCTCTGCAGCGCACACATAGCGGCCTTCGGCGTTATTCTTTTCATCATCGTCATCGTCTCCTTCTTCATCGTCAGCTAGCGAATTATTTATTTCAACCGATGACGTCAGTGATGAACTCATCGAAAACACTGACGAAAAGTTAACACCACTAGCATGCTTTCCGCCTAACGTTGACGACGATGTATTTTGAGCAATTGCCTGTCGAGGTGACCAATCTCTCTCTACCGGATCATCGGTACTTCCAGCCCCTAAACCTGATGCCGCACCACCGGCAGCACTTAGTGCCCAAAGTTGGTCGGCAATGGGCGCAATCGCCTGAGTTCGCAGTACCATAATGTCTATAAGCTGCTGGCCACACTCACAAACCAAAGTCTCACTTGAGACCTTACTATTGTCAGCAAGTGGCAACACGCTCGCTGCCGAATATACCGCATTGGGTAACACGCTGACTGTCTCTTCTGCCCCTATGCGAAGTCCACCACACGTTGGTTTCTCCGCTAAGCCATCGACCAGCACGTATTCTTCGCTGCTGTCCAAAGTATGACCACCGCCACTAACATGCTTCTGGTTCGTGGTCAAAATCGAATCGCTACTCGTCCGTTGCGAGATGGCAGAAGTCTTAACTCGAAATGACCCGGAGTGTAAAAATTGCTGCTGTAGTGCAGCGGCACCTGGAGGCGACTCTGATAACTGCTTAAACGGATTGATTCTTGGGCTCGGACTAGGCAGTATCTGCGGACTCATTTGTGGGCTCATTTGCGGACTAAGCTTAGAACTTGTGCCTGTTGATAAGCCGCTACCACTAGATGAGGTGCGTCGACTTCGCGCCAGTCGTGACGAAGACGACCGACGCAGAGCCCCGGACCCAGAACTTGCGCTCGCAAAAGCAGTCTCCATCACTTCCAGGTTGCCGCTGCGTGACTGACGCATTGTCGCCGAGGGTGCTGTACTCGCAAATCGCGAACTCGAGCTCACTTCATGAAAAGTTGTGACTACGCGAGAGCATCGGTCGTTTCTACTCATTTTTCGGTGTGAGTTCGGTGAGACAGCTGCATTTTCTCCGTCCACATCATCATCGCCACCTACTCCCAATTTGCTGCTCCCAGCAATCGAAGTATCCAAGCGTCTTATAACTTTATTCTCCTCCTCTTCCTCCTCTTCTCGGATACTAACAGCAGTCAAAAGTGGTGATGAGCGTCCCACAGCTTCAACGGCTTCCACCTGATCCGGTAACGGTGGTAAATCCACAAACGGGTCAGCAAAAAATTCCGCAAATCCAAGACGAAGCGCTGGTTTTCGCTGTAACAAAGCCGTAAGCAATTGACGACAAGAACTTGAAAGCTGGAGGGTCGGTGGAAAACGCAGTGGCTGGCGCTCAATATTCGCTAGTAATTGCACGTGGTTTGCTCCACCGTAGGGTGGACGTCCAGCAAGCATTTCATATAAAATCGTTCCAACAGACCAGAGGTCAGCCTTGGCATCATATTTTTGAAATTTTAATATCTCCGGAGCCATATACAATGGAGAACCACAAAGTGTCTCTGCCATTGACGTCGTTGCTAAATGTCTTGCAAATCCAAAATCCGCTACAACAAACAACAAGCAAAATACGACAAAAAAAGTGTCACTACGAATATCAAAATAACAAAAATCAATTGCAATTACATGCTACACACAAAACAGACCAATTTTGAGCACCGAGGTCGGTGAATCGTCCACAAGTAATAAATTCTGTGGTTTTAAATCACGATGAATCAAATTTCGTTGCCAAAGACATTGCATTCCTTTTGCTAATTCACGTAGAAAATGTTGTGCAATTGGTTGTGGAATCACTTTCTTTCCATCTTGTTCTTTCTCTTGAGTGCGTCGTACAAATTGTTGTAAATCACCACCAGCACAATATTCTAATACTAAATACATATGCTTTTGTGTTTTCTTAATTTCATAGAGTTTCACGATATTTGGATGATCAATTTGACGCATAATTGTAATTTCCATTTCTAAATTGTCCAATAATTTGCGATTTAACTTATAAAGTGATAAAACTTTAATTGCCACTGGTACTTTACTCGTCTTGTGATATCCTTTATACACAATAGCAAATGAACCACTGCCTAATTTACTTGTTACCACATAATCACCAATAGATGCACGAGACATGAGATGATAGCAAGTATCAGCACTTCCTACTCGTCGGTATCACTGCTTTACTCAAGACTTGAAGTTATACGTAACGTCAAGAGTGATGGTCTTTTCCGTCACGCTCGAGAGTGCGGAATCGAGAATGCCGAAGACGGGCCGAAAAGTGGCGTACAAATGGTGTGTGCAACATGAAGTAGGGATAGGGCAGAACAATGACGATGGGAGCATTTGACCAATGAAAGCCAAGATAACTCCAACGCGTCGATGTCAACTAATAAAAGAGTGATGGTCATTTATCAAACACAAGATACAGTAACGCTACAATGTACTCAAGGACGAATTAAGTTGAAGTCAAGCCATCCATCATTACGAACGTTACAGTTTACATTTCTATAATTTTTACGTACGTGCGTGTGTGTAAGTTAGTTGACGACATAAATTGACAATGGCTTAATGCAGGACTGGTCAGTCGAATTGGGATTGTGCTAAGGAGTATTTCGCTGCACTTCGCATACAAACTTCAAGATTGCTGGACATAGACGCTGCGACAAAATGCTCATGTTGAAGTCGCAGATCCACGACACTTGACGTTTGTATCAAAGTTTGTTATTTGTGTATTAACGACTAAGCTGTAGGAATTTCTAAGCTTAGCCAGAATGATGTTAGTAATGCTAGAAACTTGAACAAGATATGTTCTTTGCAATGCAGCAGTCACCATCACCACTTCATAATGTAGCCTTTAGTTTGTAAGTTGACCATATTGCACAAGACACATGCTGCTAAGACCAACAACTTATACTAACCTGTCGTTTTTAATGTTTTAGTGCCTAAAAGAGCTTTTCCTAACCTAAGGAAAGATTATTCCTTGCTGTGCCATGGGACAGCTATACTAAGCATTGGCATGCTATAATACTAAAAGTGGCGCCTTGGAACATCCGTGCACGGCTTCCAAGCAATGTTAAAGTAGGACACGACGAAGCTTTTTAAACGAGTCAGTATTTATAAAGGTTAGTACACAAGACGCGTGACTTTGTTGTCAGGAGTTCTGGTGATTGCCTGGTCGCTGCTGCATTTGTATCGCGTCCCAGTATTTTTGCACTAGACTATCTTTCGGTGTTTTCTTACCATAGAGAACATGTCATCACGGGTAGTTCAACTTCAACATCTTGCGTCATTAGATTGGCACAAAGCAGACGACGTTTCTACGTGCACGTCTGCATTTGTATTGATGTCGTCCATGTAAGGTACATTCTTTACGCGTCTCGTTTCGCAACACAGATCTTAAGTTTGGACTATATCGGTGACATGCGAGGCGACGTCGCTGGCGTATACGTGACGATTGGTACCAACCAAATCCTTTCGCAACTTTCCTTATACGAGCTTCCATTAGTCTATGGTATGCAGCCCTGATACATCTGACGGCAGGATCAAATTCGTATGCGTGACTCAACTTTGAGGCTTAGCGACCGTAGACGATGACAGGGCAATTATCAGTTTGCAGCGGCTGGTTGGAATCCAGCTGCGAGATTTAGACAACTTTTCTGACTCCACAACTAATAACGTGCGTAGGTGGTTTACACGATTAATCAACACACGATATGCAAAGTGCTAGTTCCTTGCAATGTTTCAATATACTTTATCATTCTGAAAAGGGTTGGCTTGTAATTTACTTTGCACAGTCAATGGGTTGCAGTGTTAGTGGCATCTCAGGGTATTTGCAGATAGAAATAACTGGATCTTTGATAATCAAATCGTCATGCAGCGATAATGTCAAAGAGTAACTAATTTACAACATATAGAGAGAGCAGCTTGAGTAAGAATAGCTAGTTTCGCATTTTAAAAACCCTTTGTGAAAGCTTTGCTTTCAAAATTGCTCCTGTGGCCACTATTCTTAAAGAAAAAGTACGGCTGCATGCATATATTTGTGTACAAAGTTGGAAACGAGGATGCAAAGAAAAAAAACATGTGCATCCTTGTTCTCAAAGAAAAGCATCTTTTCTTTGAAAAAATATCTGCTTGTTCTCATGTTTGTACACAAATGTTTGCATCCTTACAGTCATCAAATGCTGGAAGAAAGTTTGCCACGTCCCTCCAACACGTCCCAGTGGTTGCTGGGAAAGAGACTGAGTTGCACTCATGCTGCGTTTCCATACCCGCGTTTATCCTTCCTAATCCTTTTTCGGTGAAGCGACGTAATATGGGAAGTGGCTCAAATTATATAAAATATGATCACTAGTCATCGCGAAGAAGGTAGCGGAACTTCTGCAATGTATGTTTGCTCATTTGTTAATTTTCAGCTTCCAGCACGTAGCAAATGACTTTCACATCAAATTTGGAACGGAAAAAAGCTTTTCGGGTGACAAATAATATGAAAGCGCCGACCACAGTTCATAGCGCAACTGAGCACCGCCCATGCTTTGCTGCTCGTGTATTCACGCTCATCTTTAAGCGGAGACAGTCTGTCGATAAGAGTCGCCCGAAGTCATGGTCAGGACAGCCCACCTCTGCATCTGTAGAGACCCTTGCTCGCCACACAAGCGCCAGAAGCATGATCACACGTCAATCAGGGCCTCTGGCCTCAGAAGTTACATCTCGTAATACTGATGATGACTATGACCACGACTCAAGTTGGCGAAAACGCCAAACACACTGCGCAAATTGCGGGCGTTTGTTCTTTGTATCGCTGTCGGCGCTAAGTTGCGGTTCTACGCGTTTCTGCTCACTGGACTGCAAAACTACTTTCGAGTACGTGAAACATCTTGAGGAATTGCTGGCTGAGCACATGTTAAAGACTAGTAGCTGTAATGGCTCGAGCTCCGATGAAGATGATTACAAAGTCGAAGAAGTTGATGTTGAGAAGCTCTTAACAAACTTGACTTGAGGAGAGCAAACATCCAAGACTTTAATCAAGTACACATAGCTAGTTGTTGCCCATGATTATTATTCTATAGGTATACCCTTGTAAAGTAAGAAAGTATAAAGATGAAGATGTATCATGAAGACGACTAAGTGCTGTTAAGGGCTGTCACATCATTCCTACATCGGCAATTTCGTCACACAACGTTTAGATTAAGAAGAGATTGCTTCATTATGGCTTAGATCTAACCACACCGTCTATAACTTGAAGGTTTATCTCGTGCTGAATGACCAGGACTTGAATAGAACTGAATTGGAAAGCGCTAATGAAAATCGATGATGACATAGTAACTATGGAAGCTCGTCAAGAGCGCGCTGTTTGTTCTTACTCAACCGAACCACCACAAATTACATTTCATGTGGTCGATAACCTTGTGCATATTTTCATTGTCGTTATGGTCCTATCAACATGAGAACATTTGTTGTCTTCCTATATTGATGGGACCTGCCTACAGCAGGCGGCGATCTCAGCAAAATGCTGCAATATCATGGACCTTAACTTCGTTGCTCATCCATTGTAACCTTCACTGAGTTTGTGTATCTCTCTCTGTCTTATATACATGTGTCATTTTCAACAACATGATTGACAAGATGCCTAGAATCATCCACGTCAAGCGAACAACGCCGACGTAGGTCCAAAGGTTGTTCGCCACAGGATGTCTCTTGGTGTACCCGCCGATGCTGCTCGACATCATCCGTGCCCATAATGATGCCATAAAGTCCGCTCGAGCGGCCCATGAAGCCAAAGTCCGCGGTCGCCTGAACGACGGCGCGTGTTGTGGGTCAAGTCACTCTTAATCATCGCTTACGCGGCACGTTAACCCCAATATGTGCTACGCCGAAGCGATGATGCGTGGGGAGGACGCCGAAGTGAGCAACTTTTCCCGGTCTGCTGCCTCCCGCTCGACCGGTGAAAGCAGAGGAATGCCCGCGACATAATCCCACCTTTTTCGGCTCCCACGAGGGAGATTGCGCTGAGTGAGGTGCTGAGGCGTCAGTTGGCTTGAGCTTCACCGCGAGATCTTATTGACTATAGCTAACAATGTCTTGCTAGGCTTCCACTTCAAGTATTGACAACTCATTGATAGATTTCGGTTTCGAAATTTTTGTGATCTTGGCTGCGACATGGAAACACAATCGTTTCCAAATGCCTGTTTAGCTAGTTGCGTTGGTCATGAGGTAAAAAAATGTTTATCAAGACCAGCAACATTAGTGTCTTGTCAGAACGAAGTAAGCTCCAAAACTTCTCGTTCTTCAGCAATCAAAATTAGGTATACTTAAGTATAAAACCTTCTGGATGAAGAACAAAACTGGCTGTTGTTGCAGTTGATACCCAAAATTTAATGCCCACAGTTTCGCCATTGTGGTCTGTTGCATGGCAGATTTTTATGCTGCTTGAAAGCGGCTGGGTGACGTTGTTTCTGAACTGAAGCGCCCGTAGCGATACTACAGTAAGTACAGTTGTCGTAAAACTGGAAATTGAGCAGCTCGGTCCATTTGATTCCAAGGTTAACATCACATACTTCAGGCTGCTCCAGATATACCAGTCTACTTGATGGGCATTTCATTTTAGGCAATATCATGTGAGAAACAGGCATAAAATTGTCTAAAGGGCTTAGGCTTGGCGATGTTTAGCTTCCTGTTCGCAAACTTCCGCGTTCTAAGATAAAAACGTTGCCAGTTAGCGATATAGAAATTGACCCACTTGTGCTCTGAATCCGATAAATTTATGTGTCGTTTCATCTGCTTTACAGCCAATGCTGTAATGCTAAATGATCTCTACATTGCTAAATTGCTGTCGTGGCTTGACATTTAGATTGCTGTCGTGGCTTGACGTTTAGATTGCTGTCTTGGCTCAACGGTGATATGAAGATCGGTGACGGCGAAACGATGAGATATGCGGCTGCGATAAATATCAATATCATTGCGCAGCCATCACGAAGTATTCAATATGTATTGAAGAACATACTTTTATATACGTCTTGAGACGTACCAGATACTAGATTGACCTTAGAGCCAGCAAAATCGGTATCTGGAAAAAGTGCCTTGAATAATATATAATAACGTGCTGGGCTCAATAATATTGAAAGTGTACTTCAATGCAGCAAATTTAGGGCCATGTTGTACGATAGTGAAGACAATTTTGTCTTGTCAAGACTGTGCATTCTGGACATTTTTTCATGCGTGATCACATCGAATTAACGACAGCATTACAAATTTGCATACTGATCCAATGGAAGTAGAAAACGAGGGATTATAAATGCACATCGTTTAGAAGATTACGCTATATTGCGTCGAAACAGAGAATAATGCCAACGAAAGGTCAAAACATTCGAATATTAATGAGGACGTTGTTGAATCTAAAGCCATACATTTGGCGGGTGTCAAATACATTTTGCACTACTAGCGACAATATCGCTAATACAATAAAGTTTAACGAACCTGCTAAGTCCGTGACTTTATCAAATTGACACGTATAGGCTACAACAAAGAAGCTACATTGCATAATGATTGTTGTACCTAAACAAATAAGCAGCATAATGCCACCTGAGACCAATGGTTCGTTCATTTTTATAACGTAAGGTTCCTACAAATCAATTCGCAGAATGCACTTGAATGAAAATTCTCCAGCTCTTTCTTATCCCGAACACATTCAATCTTGTTAAAGAAACCACCCAACAAAAGGGAATAAACAGTAAATGGCTCATCTGGTTTTGATCCGTCAGGTTCTTGGTAATAGATAATAGCTGCTTGGATTCAAAAAGTATCTTCAAAAGACGTTATTACTGGTCGTTGTTGACACATTCCAGTACATTTTCTCTTACTCTTTCCACTCACTACTACTCCTTCACAAGAATATAAACAGCATGAATAATGCCAGGAATATATCTACAGCAAAACACTTGTCAATCAATGTATTCCACATATCACCTACCATTATGTACACTTGCACGCACCCTAGTAGCGTAAGCAGACAATTAATAGCAAAGACTTTGTTACAGCCGACTTGAAAGAACACACCGAGCGGCGGCAATATAATTGAGCAAATGAGGCGTGGACAGTCTCCCCACGTGATCGCCATAACTTTACTTTTAATATTCTAGCAACGTCTGACAAGTAAATGTCGAATGTATAGGAAAGTACTAGAGGTCCAACAGTTGATCAGGAGGCCGAATTTCATCTGGGACACGACGCAAAAAAAAAAGGTTCTAATTTATTGCTTCAACTTGCTCAAAATCTGTAGTTTCAAATTACTCAAGTAAACTTAAACTTGTTCCAGATCTCTGGTTAATTTTGTACCAATCATATCTATCCATCATCAGTAGATCATGCCGACGGCAGTGGAATTAGCAGTGACCCGCCTCAATCTTTGTCTGGGTGCTGAACGTCAACTACTCGCGCAAAATTGTCCAAAGCGTCGTCTTCCTGTGACGATTGTCACTGGTTTTCTTGGAGCTGGCAAAACGTCGTTGTTGCAGTATATTTTACAGTATAAATTGAACTTACGCATCGCTTGTGCCATAAGTGACTTGGCTGCCATTAATATCGACGCGTTACTAGTGACGAATGAGTTCAATGACAATAGTAATAAAGTTTTTGCACTGAAAGCTGATCCGGATACAAGTGTAGACACATTTAAAGACGCCGTGTGGCAAATTCTTAACGAAGATGATGATGATGCAGCAGCACCTTTGGATCATGTGGACTACCTCGTGATGGAGACTAGCGGTACAATGGACCCAACGCAATTGGTGGCAGCAGTGCAAGAAAAGTTTGGCAAGATGACACGTGCGCGTCTGGATTCGGTGGTGACAGTGGTGGATGGAGATGTTGTGGCTCAAGATGCAGCTAAAGAAATTAAACCATGCGCTGTAGCTGTTCGACAGCTGCAATGTGCAGATGTGGTGCTGCTGAACAAGGTGGACTTGCTCGATGAGAAGAAGCTCAAGATTGCTCGACAGATAATAAAGCAGTATGCTCCAAATGCTCGAGTCTACGACACGGTCCATAGTCAAGTTTACTTGCCACATGTGCTCGATATTGCGCTACCAGAGGAAGCATTTAGTGGGGGCGTTAGCCACGAAAAGGTGCAAGCGCAATGGAAGACAGGGATATTGGAAAATGGCGCCGTTAGTCCTGCGCCTAGTCGTCTTCGAGTGAAGCAAGGACAGGTAGCAGAGCCAAATGCTAGCGCAACGCCTTCACAATCATTCGCATCGGTTGCATTTGAAAGCACTACACCGACTCCACTCTCTGCTGTGCACGACTGGGTGCAGCATCATCTTCCTGAAGGAACATTGCGTGCTAAGGGAGTCCTGTACATAGCCGAGTTACCGATATACCGCTTCGTAGTGCAGCTCAGCGGTAAGCGGCGACTAGAGGTCGAAAATGCTGGCGTTTGGAAATCATTACCGAAGACACAGTTTGTCGTGATTGGTCTTAACAGTACCAGCAACAGTGGTGAAGAGCCCTTTGATGAAGTGAAGGCTTATAATAGCCTTGCCACTTGCTTTGCAAAATCTACGGACCAGTTGACAGTAGAAGACAAATCAATTCGTGATGAAATTCAAACAAAACTTGAAGCGAACGAGTTCTTTGAAATGCTGATCTTTTCTGAGCAATCTACAATGGTTGCGTTCCGCTTAATGTGTCCGACGTCGAGGTTGGACGAGACGATGCTTCATCACCACCATCACGTAGATACAAACGAGTTGACCAAGCAGCTGGTGCAAGACGTGAATGCCTCAGGTGGTGGGTCGTTACTGCTCTACGCTTGTAATTTGAGCCTTACCGACAATGAGGAAGAACAAGTGTATGCTGTAGCCTCCAACATTGGCGCTGCGTCAGTTTTGACCATGTGGAACGAGCTCAATTCGTGCGCAGAACAGATTATCAATGAGGTAAGAAAAAAATTGCAGGATGTCTCTGTGGGTTTTAATATGTTATACAGACAAAACAACAGCTTTGATTTCACTCATCTTACTGTATTCGCAGTGTCACATGTTGCATACACACAATATCATGTGTAGTCAGTCACACGACTAATATCAAGTTTAAAAGTATTTTTAATAATAGACAAGTAGTATTAAAGCATAATTATAGAGAACAGATTGATTGTCTATTTACGGTTAGTGCAAGATCTCTGGTAGTTGTTAACCACACTAGCAACGCTGGAGGGTCCAGACATTGCCCGCGGCTGGCTGCCTGGCTATGAAGGCCGGGCTGCCCTCTCGGTTCTGATATAAATATGTCGTAACATGCAGAAAGTTGGGCGCCCCGCACGGCCGTGTCAGCCCTGCAATGGAGACGTTTAATGAGCGCTCGCAGTTGGAGCTGAATCCTGCCCCAAATCAAGGCTTTCACTGGCTTGCATTGGGATATCCGCATGGAGAAACACACTGTCGACGCGGTGTTGCCAGAGCAATGTGATAATGACGGTCCCTGCGACCTCCCATATCGTCTTCCAGGCCGTGGCGAATTGATCGATCTCGTCGAGGTAACAGGCTACCAGCATTGCTGTGACCCCTCGGTGAAAGGCGGGGTACGCTACGGTTTGCACAGTGCTCGAGCTATCCATAGCCGGTCGTAGTAGACTGGCTTTTTGGAAAAACAGTGTAGAGTCGTCGACAAACCCCGAAAATATATGGGTCTGCGTGTGTTTTCCTGGAAGTGTGAGCCCGTGAAGATGGGGCAACGTTTGTATTGCTACGGCCAGCACCTCCACTACCACCAGGAAAAGAAGAGGAGCGAGAGGACAGCCTTGCTGAATGCCAGACCGCACCTTCCGAAGTGAAGAAAGCTTACTATTGACCGAAAAGCGTGCGGTCGTGTTGGTATGAAGCCTTTGAACGAGCGCAAGAAAATTTTCGGCAAACCCCAATCAGTCGGAGCGCCTCTATCATGAAGTCACGGTCGACCGTATTGTAGGTTTTTCGAAAATCCAGTAAAACGATGGCACGGCTGGCGTCGGCGTTCAAAGCATTCTCCTCACGTGCTCTTTGGAGGTGAGCGAGCATCATCGACAACGTCTTTTGCATTTGTCGTCCGTGAACAAAACCTTGTTGAGAAGAGCCGATGACATGGGGCAAACACTGCTGCATACGCGTCGCCAAGACCTTCGCGATTACCTTGTATCCCGTTTGCAACAGGAAAATTGGTCCATAGCCCATGACGTCGTCGGAATCCCCTTTCTTACGTAGCGGGATAATGAGCGCTTCCATGAACGACTTAGGTGGTTGTGCACCGTGGATGATCTCATTAGCTATAGCCATCAACGGGGTACCAACAGGGATTCAAGATCCTTGTAAAAATCATTCCCTAGGCCGTCGGTTCCGGGGGGCTTTATGCCTACTTGAGAGCCCGTATTGCGAGTACCACCTCTGCTTCCGTTATAGCAGCCGTCAGGGCACGGTTTTCGGCGTTGTGACAATGCGATCAGAGGGGAGAGTGACAAATCGCTGCAAAGCCGAACGCAGTTCAGTGACCGGGACTGTACGGTGGCTGGTCCCCAGCACATGATCCCATTCAGAGCTAAACTTGTCTGCGACGCTGCAATCGACTAGGAACGGGTTACCGTGGAGTTTCCTAATAGCAGTAACACTTTGATCACGCTCCCAGTCCGATACTCGTTTGAACTTTGCGCGAAGTTTGTCCGTTGTGCGTTGGAGAACCAAGCCAACCCGGCTGATGTGGGCCTCCTATTGATCCTCAGATTGAGCTGTATGCCAGGCCTGTCGGGTAAGCAGTGGCCGTCGCGCTCGCCGTCGCAGCTTGGCATGTACCGTGTCCGCCGTTGCCTTAGCCTGCGGGTGATAGTTGTGATTTTCTGGCGGACGCGGCAGACGCCGTGATCCCAGGTCAATACCGTGGATAACTCAGTAATGCCACTGTTTGTGAGGCACTCGATGAGTTCGGCGACGGTGCCGTCCGGGTTTGCAGAACGTAAAGGGTACGCAACTTTACCGGGAAGACGGTGCCGGCCTCGTTTCCAAGACAAGATATGCAAGGTGACTTGCTGGTGATCCGAAGCTGACGGAGAGAAATTGCCTCCAAATATTGCACTCGGTCCCCCCCAGGTGTGGGATACGTAGAAACGATCGATTCTACTGGCAGCTGACCCCGCCCAATACGTGAAATGGGTTGATGGCTCCCACTCCAGGGCGTCGTCCGGGTGAGGAACTAAATCCAGCGCGTCGACTAGCTGACACATGTCAGTGAGGGTATCCAAAGCTGGACTTTTAGTGCGACTAGTCAAAGTATCCCCAGCCGGTCGAGCGAGGGATGTTGGACGCAGTTAAAATCTCCGGTTAGAATGACTGGGAGATGTCTTAGGGTCGTATTGTACAATGGAGAAGTTATGAACTGGGTGTACAAACACTACCTTGGCGGGAATCTCAAGAGGGACCGCTGCAGCGCTTTCAGCCCCTCGAAAAACAATTCTTATTTTGCCCGTACGTTAGGTGCGCAAACGTTAACAAGCAGAAAATTGTCCTGAACAGATACCGCAATTTGCCTCGGCGTCCAGGCCATGGTTGTGCCAACTGGGCCATGTCCGGTGTTAGAAGAATAGCCACACCGCCGGCGTTGCGCGTCCCTAAACTCCAGTAAGAAAGAGGTGACGCTGAATCGACCGTGGAGTGTCCCCAAAGCCGTCTCCACTCACGATCTAATGCCTCCGCTTCCTCCTGAAAGGCGACGGGTTTCTTGCTGACACCAAATATCCGGTCGCGTTCTACGTGGCAGATTCCGCCATGCTGCCAACCATATTGGACGAGATTTGCAAGAAAAATTGCGTAGATTCTGCGTAAGTATCTTTTGGTTCGTAGCTGTTGAAACCTCTCGCCGAGAACGCGATTGAGGTCTGGAACATCAGTCTATCTTGCATGTGTAGACCGTACGCGTCGGCTGTATCCCCGCTTGCAGTTGGAAGCGATGACCGAGCCGTGATCTTAGGGCTGCTCTTAGTAGTCAGTGCCGTCGATTACCATTGGCTTCTCGAAGGCGGATTCAAAAAAGAGCGCAATACTGACCCAATCAGCCTGTGTCCCGCCCCCATTGTAACAGGATTTATAGTGCGCATCCCGTTGCAGGAGCTGAACATGGGTCTCCATGACTGGCCAGGAGCTAGCCCCCGGGTCAGTTATCGATAAAAGTTCTCCAATTTCGACATGATACAGATGAGCGCACAAAATAAGATGACTCAATTTCACCCGCCGAATTGGATCGCACAAAATATGATGACTCAATTTCACCCGCCGAATTGGATCGCACAGCCGAAAAAGATCGTCATTCCCATATTTCTTGGCACGGGTGCGTTTCCAAAAGTCGGTGTTATCCGCGACCTTCCGCCCTTTCAAAATATTGATCTGCTGCATCCAATGATCCAGCCAAGCCCGCGTCACTTTTGACGTACACTTTGCCCTGTAACGCGCTATGCAGTCCTGCAGACAGTCCCTCCGCCATGTCTCTGTCCAAAAAAAGGAAAATGGGTTTGGGGGGGGGGGGGGGGGTTTTTCGGGGAAATTGAAGAATAAAAATTGATGAAGTAACATTTGCGGTTCCGCCGCTGCCGCCATTGCCCAGATAGCGGTTCCGCTTTCCACTAATGGACACAGGACGCTTGCCGTCGTCGGCCATCGGACTCTTCCGCTGTTCCATTCGACGTCCAATGCTGCGCAGAGTCGCCCATTAGTTCATCCTCCCAGTTTAGATATGGAACAAGCGCGTGTTCCTCCGGTTTCCCTTTTTTGAGCAAAGCCCCGGTATGGATGTTTTTCACGGCCACTCCATCCTGAACGCGAACGTCAGGCACGGCTAAATGGGTACGCTTACGCAATTGCCTCTCAGCGGCGCAGAGTATCGGAGGCGGCGTCTCGTAGTCTGCCTGTGTGCGGGAGGTGCCAGAAGTGATGATAGCAGTGTTTATCGTGGCGTTGGCCGCGTTACTTTCAAGCAGCAACAACTGCTTTGATCCATCTGGAAGCAGGGCGAGATCACCAGTCAGGAAAGTTTCGTTCAGTGGATCTTCTGCAACCTGCTGAGCCGTTTCCTTGAGCAAGATGGCGTTGTGATGAATTGTTTGTTCCTCCAATGTTGTCAGTCGAGGAACGGCAGCCGAGTAATGCCGACCCTAGTACCGAAGGACAATGGGAGGAGCTGAAGAGTCGATAATATCCGCCCTGATGGCATTGAGGCATTCTAAGATGTCCAGCGGTCTCTCGGTGAACGAAGCAATGCTTTTCGCTCTAATGTATAGCACTGCTGGCTCAAACTGCCGACAGCTCCAGGGGTTGGCACGCGTATCCTCTAATTCGAGCACGTAAATGCTCCGACGGAGGAACATTGCCGCTAGTCCAATGACGTCATTACCTCCCCACGTATTGTCTGCGACGACCGCTTCTCGTTCGGAAGGATTGGACGCGTAGTCCTCAAAAAACCATTTGAGTTGCCAAGAGATTCCCGCCACGTCATGGTTGGCCACGCACGATTAACATTTCGAAGCATCGCGACGCGAATGTCATGCGGTATGCGGTCTCCTATCTTAAGAGTCCAACCTCCTTGACCCCGGTTTTGAGGGTTGCCGTGAGCTGTTTAAGCTTCGACGTTGGCTCTGCAAGGTCTTTATTAGTTGCTCCTTGCACGATTGCCATGGCAAAGCAATTGCCGGAAGCCGGCGTTGCTACCTCCCGCAGCCCTAAGCTGTCCATTGCCGCTGCAAACGTCTGAGGCACTTGAGTTAGCATGGGTCCGGGGGACACTGCTGCCGAGGGGCCGACGCGGCTTGCCTGCATCAATTTCGAAAACTTAGCCCTAGATTTCGTCTGACAACCAAGCAGAAGATGCCCTTGGACTTGTGGAGGCTGTCCTCGCGCCAGACCTGTCACACGAATTTGCTCCTCAGCTGAAGATAGGCGCGGCTGCGCCGGAGAGACCGTTTCCCCGGTTGCGACGCGGGAAACACCTGAACTGCTTGGCAATGCGGGTGATGGGGCCGTTTGGGGTGGCGGTGTTGGGTGTTCGCCGGTTGCCACCCGAGGAGTGACATT